GGGGATTCGAACCCGCCACCTCAGGTGTACATGGCTGGCGCCTTAGCCGGTTGAGCTATAGGCGCCGAGCCGAAATTTTTTTTTTTAAGAAAGAAGTTTTAAGCCATATTGATCAAAATCAATCCATACTACAGCTATTTGTTATTTATAATGTCAAAATAATTCAAACGTTGAAGGAGGAAAAAGGAAACCAGAGTTTGTAGAAGAGTTATAGTTTTAAGATTCTATTTTTCTCTTCCTAGGAAAGTGACCTATTTTTCCTTTTTGTCTTAAGTGAAATTGAAGGTACTATCACATACATTCTTTAAAAATGGGAATGGCCATGTCATTATTTATCAATACTTATAAATTACATTGCCACGGTTATACAAGGTAGATACTTCTTTTTTTCGAGGAACAGTATTTCAGTCATTGCACATTGAAATATTAATATATTGATAGCTATTTAATATTTTTCAAAACTCCATGGTTTTCTACACCTGAGATAAAATAAATTAGAAAGTAGTTGTAGTATGTGATATCACACCACCAGAGATGTTTCCACTTTGTTATTTGTATTTAAGATACCTGTGTTATAGGATGTTAGATCTAGTCTTAAAATTTTGCCTTTTAAAAAAAAATGTGCTTATCTCCTTGGTATGTCTAAGGTGGACTAATAATCTCTATGATTTACCTTACTTGTACACTTTCCCCTGAGGAGGCACTGTAGTGTGGATTGGTTAAGAGGAAGGGCGTCAGAGAAGTCAGTTTGCCTGGCTTTGCCCTTCAGCTCTGCTGGTTTACACTGTATGCCTTAGTTCCTTGTCTGTAAAGTAGGGATCGTCGGGTTTCTGTGAAGATGAAATGATTAATCATTCAATATATGTTAGCTATTGTAATTCTGAGCTGTGTTGTTTCTAAACTTTAGAGTGTGGGGTTTGCTATAGCATATCAGATAGGTAATTGAAAGACCAATCTTGGCTAATGCTGATACTTGACAGAAAGCCAGCGTAGTACCATTTACGATTGTACCCCTAGCTTAGTTTATGCTATAATGTATTACCCAAATGTAACTTCATTAGGTCCTATAAAGTCAGATTTCTCCTTCTTTGTTGCACGACTCTTTACAAAAATTCAAAAATTCGTTAAGCTGCATATTTGAATTGTATACATTTCCGAATAAGGTTATACTTGAATAAGGTATGCTAAATATGTATTTTTAAAATTCCTTTCACTAATTCAGCTAAGGAGTTGTTCCTTCCTCTTGGTGGTGGTGGTCTCTCTTTAGCTGAGAGGTTCCTTGCCATTTGTTGTGCTTGGTCTCAGCCTAGACCAGGATCTTTAAGTTTCCATCCATTTCCTTTGCAGGGCAAAAGGACAAACTTGCGTAAAACCGGCTCAGAGCGTATTGCTCATGGAATGAGGGTGAAGTTCAACCCCCTTGCTTTACTTTTAGATTCATCTTTGGAGGGAGAATTTGACCTTGTACAGAGAATTATTTATGAGGTATGAGTATAATTAGTAAATTTCTTAAATATGAGCTTGTATTTTGTTTTAAAGCTCTAATTAGAAAGCTGGTATAGAGAAATTGTATTTTTAAATACAATTGAGATAGTGGGGTTTTTTTGGAGCATGCTCCAAAGTAGGCTATGTCTTTTTTGAGACAGTCTCACTGTGCTGCCCTCAGTAGAGTGCTGTGGCATCATAGCTCACAGCAACCTCCAGATTTTGGGCTTAAGCGATTCTCTCAACCTCAAACTTTTGGGCTCAAGTGATCCTCTTGCCTCAGCCTCCCAAGTAGCTGGGACTACAGGTGCCCACCACAATGCCCGGCTATTTTTTATTGCAATTGTCATTGTTGTTGGTTTTTTTTAGCTGGCCCGGGCTGGGTTTGAACCTGCCGCCCTCTGTGTTATGTGGCTGGCGCCATAACCACTGTGCTATGGTCACCAAGCCCATAGGCTATATTGTTTTAAAGGTATGATTGTAAAATTTTGCTAACACAGAAGCTCAGTTTTCACTTAAGCGTCCTTTAGAGTACTTTTCTGTCTTAAGGAGGTCATTGTTCTCCTTTAAAAACTGTTTACAGATAGGGTGGTGCCTGTGGCTCAGTGAATAGGGCGCTGGCCCCATATACCGAGGGTGGTGGGTTCAAATCCGGCCCTGGCCAAACTGCAACAAAAATATAGCTGGGCATTGTGACGGGCACGATGGGCGCCTGTAACCCAAGAGCTAGAGGTTGCTATGCGCTGTGATGCCATGGCACTCTACCGAGGGCAACAAAATGAGACTCTGTTTCTAAACAAACAAAAAAACTGTTTATAGATGGATTGATACTATATAGTATCAAGTTAGAAACACAGGCCCTTCTTTTCAGAAGCCTACTATTTGAAATATTTTTAGTTGACCTTTTTTCCCTTTCCACAGAAAATGTAACTTTTACTTAGAAACTAATTTGTGGTGGGGAGTTGGGAGGATAAATAAACAAAAATGACTTATAAGTATATAGTTTTGGTACTTCTTCAGGTGTTTTTAAACCTTTTTATAGTGACTGTCTCCTTAATGTGGTTATTCTGTCTGTCTTATTTCTAGACTTGTTCTTGGTATAGTTGTCTTGGCTCCTATAGGTTTTAATTATGACTTTTACAAATGCCACAAAAGCCTATTTCTGTTCTCTTGACCCTAAGGAACTAGTTAGCTGTGACAGTTCCAGTGACAAGAAATTAGAATGATGCTCACCCTTCTTATTGATGCAGGTCGATGACCCAAGCCTGCCTAATGACGAAGGCATCACAGCACTTCATAATGCTGTGTGTGCAGGGCACACAGAAATCGTTAAGTTCCTGGTACAGTTTGGTGTAAATGTAAATGCTGCTGATAGTGATGGATGGTAAGATTTTTTTAAGTTCCAATCAAACTTTAGTTTTAAATTATAATGTGTTATTTTTGTGGAAGAATAAAAAGAATTGACTCTTTCCTATGTAGGATTTTTTTTCTTTTTTTGAGACAGAGTATCACTATGTCACCCTTGGTAGAATGCAATGGCATCATAGCTTACAGAAACCTCAAACTCTTGGGCTTACGTGATTCTCTTGCCTCAGCCTCCCAAGTAGCTGGACTACAGGCACCCGCCACAACGCCTGGCTATTTTTAGAGATGGGTTTTGCTCTTGCTGGTCTTGAACCTGTGAGCTCGGGCAATCCACCCACCTCAGCCTTCCAGAGTGCTAGGAATTACAGGCGTGAGCCACTGCACCCGGCCCCCTATGTAGGATTTTTAAAAGCTTTAATTACGCTATATTTAATGTTTTAATTTTATAGCCTATTTTTCTCTACCACATTTTGGAAGAAAAGTTGTCTTGGGCCATATTTATTTATTTATTTATTTATTTTTATTATTTTTTTTTTTTTGAGACGGAGCCTCAAGCTGTCCCCCTGGGCAGAGTGCTGTGGCATTACAGCTCACAGCAACCTCTGACTCCTGAGCTCAAGCGAGTCTCCTGCCTCCGCCTCCCAAGTAGCTGGGACCACGGGCGCCCGCCACAACGCCCGACTATTTTTTGGTTGCAGCCATCGTTGTTTGGCGGGTCCGGGCTGGGGATTCGAACCCGCCACCTTAGGTGTACGTGGCTGGCGCCTTAGCCGGTTGAGCTATAGGCGCCGAGCCGGGCCATATTTAAATACACAAATACTAATGGAAATTGATGAACAACCAAAAATATAAAGAAAGGTCTATGCATAATTTTTGTGATCTCTGCCACTACAGATAAGCAAAAAAGTCCTAACATAATCCACATGAAGCCCATGGGCCGCAGTTGAACACCCTTGTTAGTCTGGGGTCATTTATAATGTGTATAAAATATTGGAGCTGCTGGAGAAGATTTTTAATAGCATTTTAAGTGACCTAAAAAAGATTGAAATATGTATATTTTATAGTCACTTTTCTGGTGTAAATTGATTTGACGTATTTTTTTCAATTATCATTTAATATAAGATTTTAAAAATACAAAAGTAGTTCAAAGTACAACTTTGCAAAATTGGTGATGTAAAGAGATAATTTAAGGACTGTTAGGTCTCTACTCTGGCAGAAATGATTAGGCTGGGTACTCTAGAATATAGAACTAAATTGATTTTATTGTGTGTCTGTGTTTTTTTTTAATTATTACACAGATTTTGTTTCTTTTCTTTCATCTACTTGACTCTTTGCACCCTTCAAGCTGCTAGCCCTAGTGTGGTCCATTACTCTGTGATGCTTTCATTTCTGACTGTAATTCTTTGATAGGTTAAGTCGTCTGTATTAAACTGGTTTTAAAAAACTGTTTAAGAGGTTTTCAGAGGAAAGGAGTTAGTAGATGAGAGACCCAAGAACCCCCTTTACAGGTGTCTTACTGCAGTAGCTGCCGTTCACTTCAGGAAAACATTTCCAGCCCTTGCTGTGTCTTCCTTCCCAGGACTCCACTGCACTGTGCTGCCTCGTGTAACAATGTCCAGGTGTGTAAGTTCTTGGTGGAGTCAGGAGCCGCTGTGTTCGCCATGACCTACAGTGACATGCAGACTGCTGCAGATAAGTGTGAGGAGATGGAGGAGGGCTACACCCAGTGCTCTCAGTTTCTTTACGGTATGTGACAAGTAGGAGTAAATGCATTCATTCATCTGCATCTTTAGGATATAGTTTAAGTATTTTTATTATTTGGAAAGACTCTTTTGTGTTATTGAAAGTAGGACAGCCTTGGTCACAGATAATAATCCAGCTTCTGTTTGTATCCTTGAAACAGCTATTGTCAGGGCCGTCTTAAACTACAAAGGACAGTGATGCAGCATCTGACCTGCTGGTGTTAATGGCTTTGACCAACAAAGGATGCTCTGTTAAGGCTTCAGGACTTGCTGAGTGGTGGTGTATCTGTGCACATAAGTAAACAGAACCCCCCCTTCTAAGACACCCTGGAGAAATGCAGAATCGGTATAATAGTCCAAATGGTCCATGTTTTCCTAGAAATCAAACTTGTCATAAAGTAAAATAAAAATAACGCATATTTTAGAGCTACTTTTTAAACTCCTTTGTTTCCTTGATTTTATCACAGTGATTGCTAGCATTAGATCTGTACCTAGAGAAAAATGGATTTGAAGCTTGAGATGGTTACATATTGGCTGGCATTTTTACTTCTAAGGCTTAGAAGCTGAGGTTAATTTTCCTCTTCAGTTTGGCCTGGGAGGATTTGGGGGAGGAGGAAGGACAGAGACAGTTGAGGAGGTTGAAGACCCCCACACGGCTCAAGCTCTCAGAAAGTCCTTTACCAGTCTGTTGAAAGACCCCTGAAGTTACAGGCGTGTGCCTCTGCCTTCTGAATGTAACAGTTTTCCCTGTCTGCATGCGTGTTTCAAAGCTCTAGGTGTGAAGGGAAGGGACTTGAGTGAGAACCTCAGACTTGCGAGTTTTTTCCTTCATCTCTGTCAACTGTAGTTTTTATTGTTGACATATGTTTGTTTTAACTACAAACCATAGGATATTTAGATACAGTAACATAATATTTTAAAGTTGACATGATATGTTAATATACATTTGCTCTATTAAATTTATTAATCATCAAGCCATATTTAGGTGTGGGATATCGTAGCAGCTGGTATAGCCTGTGGCTAGGAGGAGTGAGAGTTATAAGAAATACCTGTATAGCGGCTCGGCGCCTATAGCTCAACCGGCTAAGGCGCCAGCCATGTACACCTAAGGTGGCGGGTTCGAATCCCCAGCCCGGACCCGCCAAACAACAATGACGGCTGCAACCAAAAAATAGCTGGGCGTTGTGGCAGGTGCCTGTGGTCCCAGCTACTTGGGAGGCGGAGGCAGGAGACTCGCTTGAGCCCAGGAGTTGGAGGTTGCTGTGAGCTGTAAAGCCATGGCACTCTACCCAGGGGGACAGCTTGAGGCTCTGTCTCAAAAAAAAAAAAAGAAATACCTGTATAGCTTAATAATGGAACACCTTGATGAGAAGGGCATGGGAGGGATTTAGCTCTCCTAACAAGCATGAGAGCTTGCGAGATGAGAGCATTGGTGAATTGGTGGTCTCTACACCGTGGTTTCGAGAGGCCCAAGATCAGCCTTATATTAGGCTGGAGGAGAAGGTAGTCAAAAAGCATGCGCATTCTATCATAGAGCCGCTTACTCTGACTCTGTCTCCTCTCCTGCCTGAAGAACGTCATGCTGGTGTCTCTGTGCTGGAGGTCACAAAACTGCAAAAGGCTAAGACTTTCTAGGAAGACTGCTTTACTCTCTCAAAGACTCACTCCCTCCCTCTCTCCCTCTCCCTTCAGCTGAAGTAAATAGCCTCAGGCACCTAAGAGCCATTGTTCCTGAGCAAAGTAGTTTAGCTCCGGAACTTAGTTAAGCCAGGGCCCGAGACCAGCCAGTCCTGGGCCCTGATAGGATATGATTTTTAAAAACATTAGGCTCGGTGCCTGTGGCTCAAGCGGCTAAGACGCCAGCCACATACACCTAAGGTGGCAGGTTTGAATCCCCAGCCCAGGCCCGCCAAACAACAGTGATGGCTGCAACCAAAAAATGGCCAGGCGTTGTGGCCGACGCCTGTAGTCCCAGCTACTTGGGAGGCTGAGGCAGGAGACTCACTTGAGCCCAATAGTTGGAGGTTGCTGTGAGCTGTGATGCCATGGCACTGTACCCAGGGGGATAGCTTGAGGCTCTGTCTAAAATAAAAAATAATAATAAAATAAAATAAAAACATTAGGGGTAGTTGGTCAGAGATCTTTTATTAAATTTTATATCCTAGGTATCCAGAGTGTAACACAGATGTGCAGTTTAAACAGTAACGGAGCAGGCTCAGCACCTGTGGCTCAAGCGGCTAAGGCACCAGCCATGTTCACCTAAGGTGGCGGATTCGAATCCAGCCCAGGCCCGCCACACAACAACGGCTACAGCCAAAAAATAGCTGGGCATTGTGGTGGGTGCCTGTAGTCCCAGCCACTTGGGAGGCTGAGGCAGGAGACTCACTTGAGCCCAGGAGTTGGAGGTTGCTGTGAGCTGTGATGCCACAGCACTCTACCCAGGGGGACAGCTTGAGGCTCTGTCTCAAAAAAAAAAAAAAAAAGTAACAGAGTAAACAACAGTGAGTGATCACGTACCAGCTCAAGAAACAGAACATAACTACTGTGTCCTCATCTGGATGTCCCTTTCTGACGTGGCCCCTCTCATGTGATGACTGCCACTTTGAAGTTCAGCATTCCTTGTTTCTAAAAAACAGTTTCATTATGTGTATATGAATCCTATAACTAATTTTTTTTTTTTTTGCATTTTTTGGCTGGGGCCGGGTTTGAACCCACCACCTCTAGTACATGGGGCCCGTGCCCGACTCCTTTGAGCCACAGGTGCCGCTCTACTAATATTTTTCATTTTGTCTGTTTTTAAGTGCTTATGTAAAATAAATCATCCTGGTGATTATATGGCCTTTTTTCATTGAAGGCTTTTTGAGATTCACCTGTGTTGCATGCAGCTATAATTGATTTTCACTGTGCTGTACTGTTCCATTTGATGACTATACCACAATTTTTCTATCATTCTGCTTTCGAGGGACATGCAAGCTGTTTCCCTGCTTCTTCTCTCCCTCTGCTCACCTTCCCTCTGTTCTCCTGTGAACATTTTTGTGCTTGTTTTCTGGTGAATATGTATTGCTAGGTTGCAATGATGCACATTTAGCAGAGAGTTCTTGTGATTCTTGGGTGGGTTTGGAATGAAGTCTCATCATGGCTTTAGTTTGCATTCCCCAAATGACCAATGATACCCCTCAAATTTTAAGAGTAAGTTGCATAATCTGCAGCTCTTAATCTACTAAATAGCAGAGTAATAAGAAATTTTCTTCCATTCGTAGTAATTTCTTGGAAATTGAGACTTGAACTATTATTTTCAGTATTCTAAAATATCTAGAATTTCTCTCCTATTCCATTGTCATCCTAAACAGATAGTACAGTACCTCTGACCACTTTAAAACTTTGTAGACTTTTAGTTATGTCAAGTTGTATTGTTCTTATCAATCGGTCATGCTTTGTGTGTCTTATTTAAATAGGAAAGTTGGAAATTTATCTGACCTTTTAGGGAAGAACTTTCTTTTGAAAAAATTTGTTCCAGTTTTACCCAGAAAGATAGAAAGAGATGCTGTGTGCCATATCTGTTAATAGATACAGGAATAATAATTTCATAATTGATAGTTCACTGCTCACATAAGTTGAAAAGTCTGACTATGCAAAAGGAATCAGATATATTCCTGACTTCTTAAAAATGATAAAGGGGGAAAAATAGTAATTACCTGTGAATTGCTGAGAACGTCATCATCTGAGTCCTTTCCTTCTCTCCTTCCTTATCCTGCCCGTTGGTGACTGTTACTTCTTGCTAGCACTGCCCTTTAGGATAGGAGGTGTAAATGGAGAAATGTGAAGAAATGTAAAATTTAATGTAGTAGCTAATTTGTAAATCTGTTGTTCTGTGAAAGAGGACTTCTGAGGATTTTTCCCTCTCCAGTTTGTGAAGTTCAGCATCTTCTAGAATTCTGATTCTCATTATTCTAGAGTTGACTGTATATAGATATTTATGTCTAAAATGCCTTTTGGTGGGGCAGAGGCTCACTTTGTCACCCTCCATAGACTGCCATGGCATCATAGCTAATAGCAACCTCCACCTCCTGGGCTCAAGTCATTCTTTTGCCTCAGCCTCCCGAGTAGCCTGGACTACAGGCACTGGACACAACTGCCCAGCTATTTTTACACGCGGGATCTCGCTTTGGCTCAGGCTAGTCTCAAACCTGTGAGCTCAGGGCAATCCACCTGCCTTGGTCTCCCAGAGTGCTAGGATTACAGGTGTGAGCCATCATGCCAAGCCCTTAAAATGCCTTATTTTTGTGTTATAACATACTTTATAATTTTTTTTTATCTTTCCCCATTTGGAAGTTGGTCAAAACCACTTTAGTAGATACAGTACTTCAGGGCGGCGCCTATGGCTCAAAGGAGTAGGACACTAGCCCCATATGCCGGAGGTGGTGGGTTCAAACCCAGCCTCGGCCCAAACTGCAAAACAAACAAACAAACAAAAAATAGATACAGTACTTCTGATCTTTTTTTCCTGTCTGGTCTTGAGTTTTAGTTAAAGAATGAAGTAATGTATTGAGAGGACCTCAGTCATTATATTTAGATGTAAGGTGAAATTTAACAGGCATATCATTCACTTTTTTATTATCCTGGGCTCAAATAGTTCTTTTCTTTTTGCAGAAGCTTTTAGACTCTGAATAAGGCCAGTTTTGATAGATGCTTATAACAGTGCTAGATTTGAGAGCTGCTTTAGAGATGATAGCAAGCCTCAGTATGATTTTGGTGTGCTCCCTGTACGTGCGCTGTTGGCCTTCCAGCACCCCCTCACCTTGGGATGTTGAATTAGTGATTCTCACAGTCCAGCCTGTACTTAATTGCTTCCCATTTTGTTTCCCGTAATTAAAAGTTCTAAAGGTGGTATGCTCTGAGTTACGTACTCTGTGCTGTGTCTTACTGTCGATTTTAGGAGTGCAGGAGAAAATGGGCATTATGAACAAAGGACTCATCTATGCACTTTGGGATTACGAACCTCAGAATGATGATGAACTGCCCATGAAAGAAGGAGACTGCATGACCGTGGTCCGCAGGGAGGATGAAGATGAGCTTGAGTGGTGGTGGGCGCGCCTGAGTGACAAGGAAGGATATGTTCCACGCAACCTGCTAGGAGTAAGTTACTCCAATACTTAGGATATTTTCATGTGTGTCAGAAAGGGGCTTTGCAAAAACTGCTATGGGTACAGTGTACCTTACTGCCCTTTGTTAATAAGAGATAGAATTGGCTCGGCGCCTGTGGCTCAAGTGGCTAAGGCGCCGGCCACATACACCTAAGGTGGCGGGTTCGAATCCCCAGCCCGGGCCTGCCAAGCAACAATGATGGCTGCAACCAAAAAATGGCCAGGCGCTGTGGCAGGCGCCTATAGTCCCAGCTACTTGGGAGGCTGAGGCAGGAGACTCGC